TTAATCCGAGCGAATACAAGGTGTCGTTATACTTATTTTTCCCGTCATGTGGCGGGAACGAGCATGATCCACGCCCGCAAGACTTGTTTCCCCGCCACTTATCAATCGCGACGAAAAGGGTTAACGCAGTTATTTTTTTGCTAGGTTTGCAGTGATCGGGTATGAACCGGTTTCACCTAATATACCGGGGTGAGCAAAAGTCACGCAACCGATTTGTAAAAAATGACGCAAAATATATAAAGGTTGCTTAACTTTATTATATAAACAAAAACAAATAAAAGCTCTTCTAGAAAGCATCTGCCATACGGTCCGAAAGCGTTGTCTAGCGTGTATTGATGAAGACGGTGGTCATATTGAACATACAACATGTATAAATTAAAAATATAGTATAAATTAAGCTCTATATATTTGTTTTTGTTTATATAATAAAGTTAAACAACCTTTTATATTTTGCGTCATTTTCTACAAATCGGTTGCGTGACTTTTGCTCACCCCGGTATTTTATATTTTAGTCATATCAGCTGTGCACCAATTGTGCTCATTATTTTTTACTGTCAATTTATATACCTAAATAAAATAGTCTATACCGATTGTGCTTACAGTTTTGTTTTTCTTTAATACCTACGAAAAATATGTTATTTTCCAATCCAATTATATAAATATTGAATAATATTGTTATTACACCGTGCATCATACAAATAGCAGGACATTACTATGTGTAAGCTCCTATGTTGATCAATTCATTACCGAGTGACCGTTTACCATGATGTCACATCCTGACTAGAAACGTATTCTACCTAAATATATAGTACTATAATTCAGTGGTTATGATCCGTGTGTTGCTTAAGAAACACATAATAACATTTGGTAGGTGGGTGGGTGATTAATAATTATTTATTATACAATAACTCAATATTATATATTATAGTGTAACATATTTTTTTTTATGTTGCACTATAATGAGTCATTGCATAGTAAGTAATTGTTAATCACCCAACATAACATAAATAAAAAAAAACTAAAAAAGTAGACATTTTAATAAAATACGAATACCTATAGATAATAATAGCTCAATAAGAGTCGAAATATTTTGGAAATTATTTCATGTCTAGTAATTTCATGTATGAATATTTGGTGAAAATGAGTCTCCAAAGTTTGATATTCATTTTCGAGTTAAAATTAAATAAAAATAAAAATTAAGATATTGTAATAAACTAGATTTGTGAAGAAATTTCAGTTTTTCGCATTGATTACCTATAACATTGTAAAGATTGCAAAGATTGTATAATATGTTATTGTGTATAGGTACCTACAAGATATTTTAACGGGATGTCGTATATAGGTATACTTCTTATAGTTCTTTTATATGACACGTTGTGGGTATGCGCATGATCCACGCCCGCGAGACTTGATTCCCCGCCACGAATCGATTGGGATTAAAAGGGTTAACGAGATTATTTTTTTCGCACGGTTTGTGCATAGTGTCGCAACTAGAGTATAGCATAGTCGCAGGCGGTCCTACGAAACGTTACCCCAGCACTCGTACTTCTGAAATCATAAATATTGTAATCAAGCAGTATTATGTACTTTATTTTGTACAATTATGTACAACGAAAATTACCCCAGATAAGACCTCCCCAGATAAAAAAAAATATGGCTAACCACATCTTAATTACCCCCATTCACTATTATTTCATTTTATATTACTAGGTATCCTATGAAAAATTCCAAGTTTACCACGCCTTGTATGTTTATATGCATAATTTTACCGAGTTAAGGTCCCCACACACTACAGCGGTGGCGGTGGCGTTAAACTCTATTGTCTTGGCTTCACCGTCGCGGTGAGCGGTGAAATGTGTCCTACAGCAATTCACCGCCACCGCTGCAGTGTGTGGGGACCTTAATGTATATATTAATGAAAAAAAGTGAAGGGTGTAATCAAGAGGTGGATAGATTATATTTTTTTTTTGTCTGGGGTACTCACAGTGTGGAACGACCACTCTCAGTATGGAACGACCACTCATAGTATAGCACAATCACTCATGGAGGGGACTGGCGGGAGCACGTCCCAACAGAAAGGCGAAAAAAGAAGAAAACAATTATCAAAAGTGAATACATTCTCAAATGCCCATGAAGAGCCACAGCACGTACTCCCGAAATCCCGTCACACTCTCAATAGATAAAACGGAGACACGCCCGCACTTTCGTTCTTACTATATACTTTTTTTTATTAGTATTTTACCGGCTATCGTACAGATTATGATGTGAGAATCACACTTTCATTATCTTTATTATTATTAATACCTGTAGTCTAAATTTCAATAATTCACAATAAATTGTTCACACACATAGTAATATCACCTATGTATTTTGCATTTTTATTTATAATAATATGTGTTTAATTTCACTATTTTAGTTTTCGATCTTTCATAATTTTGTTACTATGCAGTCATAGCTTCACCGTCATTACTTTTGCTATTTCGGATGGATACCGGTGCAAAAGTTACGGTCAGAAATAATTTCCACGTGATAAGCCCAGCATCCAGGGGTGGGTTTGATCCAGGCATTGTAAACTTTGATTTTATCGGTACTGGTTGCGGGTTCCGAAAATAATTACAGAGTCTGTTCTGGTGGGTACGTGAAAAAAATATATGTACCTATAATGATTTCTGAAATCCAAGCGTCAAAATTGATTGAGCGGTCGTACGAAGTGCTAAACAAATAATATTATAATATGCGGTACGATTTGCGAAAGGTGCAAAGATAACTGCATGAGGGAATCTTGAACTGCAGGCGTCGTTCGTGGCCCAAAGACTGCCGACTGACACTATATAATAATAATATGCGCGTGACGTCCGCTGTTACTAGTTCCCGGATGGGTGACCACCCGGGTTCGTTTAAGTGTCAAAAACCTTGCCACACATACACGTGTTGCTAACCAACCGTCTCAACCGTAATCCCTGCAGTTTTACCTAATGACCATAGTTACCAAGTTCGAGTTCAATAAAAAAAAAAATAATAATAATATGCGCCTACGTAGGTATAGTGCAATCGTTCAAAATCTACGTCCAGTACCGAATCGGCGTTAAGTACCGTGTCGTATTATCATAATATAATCTGATATTATGATAATATTATTATCATAATATCAGATACCTACCACCCATTGTATGCCGAGGCGGCAGCATCGAGAATGAACCATCATACTGTCATTCCGTGAAATGTGTAAGCACCTCTCAATATACAACAACATTATTGCGAGCATATCATGCGACGTATTTACAATGCATGCACTTGAGCTCATAATAATATAAACATACAATTAACACTGAATTAGTAATTATAAATTATTGTACATAGATTATCTGATTATACAATGGCGCCGACCACGAAAGCATACAAAGTAATAAGATTTTAATATTTTAGTTGCCTCGGTCGTACAACTACAGTGTATTATAATATTCCACACCAGTGGTTCCCAATTGGTGGTACGTGGACCCTCACAGGTCCGCGTGTTAATGTTAGGAGGTCCGTCGTACTGTAGTGATTTTTCATTTTTATTTTGTTTTAGTGAAATCATTAAATTCGTAGTCCGGATATTTTTGGTCTATTGAAACTCGATTCACCACCGCGAATAAGGTAGGAAGGTAGATAATTAATTTATTCAGATTTAAAAGTAAGTGTTTACAAAACAGGGTCGCCGCGCCGGACCAATTTAAGTAATAGCTAGGAGTCCGTTAACTAATTGGGAACCACTGATCTACACCGTTTGAGGCCGGGCACACACCAAATCAGTGCGGAATGGGCGCGGGTTATTGCAGCGGGTCGTGCTTTGCAATGCATCGGTGTGCGGCCATTTACAACATTGAAACACTATGGACTATTAGTTACACTTATGTTTGTAACGAAAATAGCCCAAATCATAATATAATATATAAGAGCATAATATATTATAATATTATTATGATTTATGAACCTTGAAGTAATGATATATTATAATTTATAACTTAAGTACCTACCTATTAATAACCTATAACAGCCAGCATACCTAGAAATTCGATTTTTATGTATATTCTATATTTTGAATCAGGATAATATTGTAACATTAATTTTATAATATAATGGCGTTGTGTGTGCCAGTTGTAAGAAATAAAAGCTCATTCCTCCCTCCTCCCCCCGTAATTACGTCACGTCTAGCAGGTGCATGTTTTGTGTCTATCCCAAAACTTTTCTCGTTCCTAGATCCGCCTACGCCCAAAGCGATCACGTTCGGATCCGATACCTATAGTTCACGCGATGATCAGTGGCGGCGTCTCAGGTGGTTTTGTACTACTTCTGTGAGTCTAAATACTCGTATAATAGTCTAAGTTTTTTTTTCTAATAGATGGGTGGGCCGCGGCTGACTGGATGTTAGATAGGAATAGTGGGTACTAGGCATTTTATTAAGAATTTGGTAACAAACGGGTGGGTGGGTGGATGAAATGATAATTGTTTGAAGTTCGCCCATTATGATAATATTGTAAGTCCGCGACACGGTGGCCTCACCTGAACGCGCGTCATTAAAACCGGCGTGTAGCTGGTACCTCGTAGTCTACCGACGACGCCGCCGACGCCGCCGCCACCTCGTATTTCGTGGTCTTCGCACATTATTATTGTTTTTATCGCGTCGTAACGATAATATCATTATTGTCGCGTGCGTGTGTGCGTGTGACGGGTGTCGTAGCAGTGTTGTATTCGTCGTCATATCATTATTATAATAATTATAATATGATTATACGACGATGTGCGGTAGTGGTGCACCGTCATGTGGTTGGTGCGTCGGGGGCCGCGGGGGCACTAAGCGGTGGTGTAGGGGGGAATGCGGCGGCGGCGGCGACACGCCGTGTGTGCGCGCTGCCGACGGTGCGCAGTGTGTTCTTTTTATTTACTAGTGCCGGACACGATGGGCTGCAGACAGCGCGGTCGATGCACCGACTCGCCGCACACGATCCGACGACGACATGGTGTTCAAAGGTGAGACGATCGCATAACTTTTACTTAAACCGTATGTTATAATACATTATCGTATAGTGGTAGACACAGTGGCGTGCCGAAGAAGGTTTTTTCGAGGGCCTTTGCCTCAAGCCGCAAACGGGCGGTTGTGTGATAAAATGCAAAAAATACAACACGCATATATTACAATATGACGATTGTATATTTTTGCAGTAGAAAAAATATTTTAATTTTGTATAAAAAAAATCATATGTCGGGTAGACGGGTCCTAAAATTTTTGTTTAACCCTGATTTTAAAAATTGTTCAGCACGCCACTGGTGGTAGATTATAGAAATTTTGTTTTTATGAGAATAAAATATGATTCGCCGCATAGTCATAATATTATATCATAACGTATACGCGTGTCGCGTCCATGTGCAGCGTGCTAGCGAGCGATGTCTTTTGGACTTTAACTTATTTCCGGAAATACGATATATTTCTACGGCCTAGACGAGTTTATGAATCACGGACTTCCATAATCTTCTTATGTTCTCCTCTATGACTGTGAAACTGCGTCTATTAAAAGTATACGGTATCCACAGCACAGTAGACAATTACATATTATACTATACGAAAATCGGCATTGCTATTTTGAAGTCCAAATGTTCAATAGTGATGGTTGTAAATCAATATTTTGTGTAGTGTTGCTTAGTTTAAGCTGTAGTGTAGTGTATAGGTAGCTTAGTTTAAGCCGTTTAAGGTAAATAGTCCAAAAGAAATTGAGTCAAATCAAATATGACGTATATAAATTCCAAATTTGTCTATCGATAATCTATAAATAATATGTACTTACCTACTTTGTAAAGCTTGTATTTTAAATTTTAATCAACTGTATAATAATATCATCTTTGCGTAATGACATAGGTATTATTAATAATGATGCTGTACTGACATAACGTATGCGTAAAATGTTCAAAGTAAAACATCAAGCAGGTGAATAATTTTACGATCGTGAACTTAGGTAATACCACTAATAGGTACCCAGAAAAATAGTGATATTACATTGTTATATATATTACTTCGCAAAAAAAAAAATACATTGATATATTAATTTAGGGGTGACAAACTCAAACACATTATATTATAATATGCGACTTGTGTGATACTTGTCACTGTCGTCACAATAATAATAAATTGTAAAATGATTTTCATAAATATTCAATTTTTTTATCGTTCTAGAATTCAGAAAATTACATTTTTGCATGAATTTAATATAAAAGGTTATTTTTTTAGTATAGGTAGGTAATAATAACATTATCAAAAAAAATCAACATTTTTCCATCACAATATGGATACAATGCATCACACTTATCGCTGTGGCTTCTCAAAATTGTGTTTTTATTGGTCACTTCATCTGTTACGCCGATCTACGGTTGGCCGATTATACGACTTACCATTTTCACTCTAGGATCGTTCCGAAGTCTCCCGGAATGATGAAATCTTATCGGTTGTCGTTAAAGATGGTGACCTATAAAGTATTTTATAATTTATAATTTTATTTCGATCGTCAGATTTTCTGATGCTATGTTTATATAGACATGGGACAAAGGGAATAGTAAATTTATTGATGTACCTATATGCATATTCGATAATACAAATCTCGAAAAGGATCGCTTAGAGAATGGACTGGATGAGTGAGTGTATGCTAACTTCAGGAATAAAAAATCATCTAAATACAAACTAAAAAGTCACAAAAATATATAATTTTTTTAAGTTTACCGTTTGTTAGTTTTGAGGCTCATATTAATATAGATATCGATGAACCACCCTGCAAGCTGGTGCTAGTAATGTTTGAAATAAAAATATCGTACAATATCATTATTGTTTCACCCTCCTGATCATACCTACTTTACTAATATAATTTTAATAAATTGTATTATAAGTATAATATACCGGACTCAACATCGCTTCGCGCCTTGCTGCAGTAATATGTGTATCTACTTAAAGAAAAAATTATTTTGAACAGTTTTTTTTTATTATTATTATTATTATTAAAACGAGTTATATACATCAAGGTCGGGTCAAAAACACCCCAGAGCTATATATATTTGGGTGTAATTCTCTTCTTCTTCTTTTTTGTTTTATTTATTTTACACTATCTATATCATTATTATTTCAAGATTGCCTCCGCTGATTTATGTCTGATGTTTGAAGTCTGAAACTCCAAACACAATCGGTTATAAGATCGGCGTTTGAGGTTTTATACCTTTGTCTTATATGCTTATGTATATATATAGTATTTTATACAAACACACATGACACACACGTATAAGTCGTATATATTATTATTACGGTTTGTATAATAATCGTCGAGATTAGACACTTGTTGTCGACTGCTGCGTCACGATGCTGTAAACCCTCGATTCTCAGGGGTTTATCGGACGCACGACTGTCGTAAATTGTTATGGCGAAGCAATGGAAATACTGCTACTGCAGAATGGAACAAAAAACGTCCTGTGTTATAATCTTGAGATTCTCTGTGTTAGTAGGTATTACGATTTCAGACGTAGCTAGGTCCCTCGGAATCGAAACCACAGTATCCGCAATACCTGTCGCTGCGGAAAATGTACATACCTATAATAATTATCATCATATTATGTTTTGTGATATACATACGATATATCGTCGAGTCGTGAAAAAAAGTGTGTCATGTGATAAGTTTTATAATTCTAAATGTATATGACTCGATAAATCCAAAATGTATAGTAGTTACCTGTAGGTAAATCACAATGTTTTGTATCGAGAGAAAATTAAAATTGAATTACGAAACATTTCGGAAACGTGACCCACAAAACACGTGTAGGTACCTACATATTATGTACGTGGACGCAATTTAGGTATAATATTTTGTCGACGACGGTCAACAGAAATGCGGCATATAGGAAGGCAGTATCACATTAATAACATAGGGGATTAAACATATCCATAGTAGCTTCTTTCGGATATTCACGGTTGTTTATACACACATATTATTGCAAAATTATTTATACCTTTAAACGCAAAAATTGTCTGCGCTCGATGTAATACTATAGATTTGTTTATTTTTAGTTAACTTTCGACCAGTGCATAATATCATCAGACATAATAATACATACCCACTACTATATTGCAAATATTTCATATTTTTATAATAATAATAATACTATATAGACACTGCATGTGGGCCATGTAGCTAAATATAATATTTAAAATGTTATTATTGTAATGTGTTGCGAAATCATGTCGGTTGGTCAGCACTTAGCTGAAACTGGTGGTCTTGAATAAAGTGCAAACAAATTTTAGCGCACATCGTCTTACTATAATAATATACAAGCGATGTGTTATGCACATATATATATATTATATATATAATTATTTATTATATAAATATTATTATCAGAATATGCGATCAGCGCATTGGTAGCATAATATCGTATAATATTATTATTTATTATTAATGAACGTCATTACATTGATTGCCACGGCCACCAGTTGTTCGCTGCCCGCCGACATTCATCTTCGCATGAGACGAGTGAATCGTTTTACTCGTCCTGTTTAAATTAATTGGACGGAGTTCATGTAAAGGGGGACAAGTCAAAAACAGCTACTTTTCAGGAGATAAAAAAAACATCATACAATGTTATTAAATGCTTTAAATTGGTTTTAATATATATTATATTTATATAAATTATTAATCATGTCAAGTCGTTTAGTCGTATGATTTTGGAACAATGATAGTTGAATATAATAATTATTATTAATAACAATGTAAACAAACGCTATTTTGGAAAATAATAATTTATAATATGACTTGTCCCCTTTCGCATAACGATGTTTTGACTTGTCCTCTAATGAGTCTAATGCATTTGGAAATAATTTGATAACATGCAAACGACAGTGTGACCATCAGATCCGGCGTGAAAATTCCTATAATTTTAACAAATAAACCGAAAATGTCAAAAATTGACTTGTCCCTCTTTACATGAACTACGTCCAATTGTCAATTTGATGTTTCAAATCGTTTAAACAAACTTTTATAATAATGTACATTAACAGCGCGTGCACTATATTTAGATTGTTTATAATTTTGCCAAAATGTTGGTGTAGTTCACGTTCCTATTGCAACAGACAACCGTTTAATCATAAATCATTCACACTTTTCGTTTGAGATTCCCAACGGCATTTAATACATAATATATTACGGTGTAAATTGATACATTTTATTATGTAAACCACTTATCCATGTTTAAATTTAAACGTTAAACAGCAAAAATTATACGTATATTATCAAATGTATCATAATTATTTTTGCGTCTACATTATCCTATTTTATCATCCTAGCAAACTTATATATTGTATATATTTTTTTTAACATATTTTAATGGCACGTTATCAAATTCATTTTTACCAAAAGGTTTGAAAACGTTTTAAACGTAGCTTTATTATGCTTTAAAAATTAAAATTATTTTTAACTGTTTGTTACTATGAAGATATTATTAAGTAATCATAATAATTAGTATATTTGAGGATATTTGTTTAAAAATACTTCATAATACTAATATTATTGGCTACAGTCTATATTATTACCTACCTACTTGTAATTTTTTTTACAGCCTATAGTATAATATATTGATCATCCACATTACGCGATATACGAATTTAATACGAATGATTAATCATCGTACAGCTTAGAATATATAGTACGCTGGTTGTCGTGTTTAATGTATTTTCAAAATATTTATTTTGTTTATTCTTTACGAAATGAAGAAAAATAATTTAACTTAGGTATGACTAAAAATAATTACGATAAATATCAAAACACTATTCTTCAATTACTAAATCTATACTATGACTACAACTGTAGTACTATCTAATACCTATAAAGTTAGTATAAATTATAAACGTTTAATGTACTAACATTTTTATTGTTTTATAAAATTTAAATTTATAATTTTTAGTAGTTGATGGTGTCTAGTGTACCGTTCTGCTACTTATTAAAAAT